CCCCCCCCCCCCCGTCCCTTTGGTCTCACTTTACTTCACTTTACTTAAACTGAGTTTAAGTAGTTTGTTATCAGTTAACTCATGCGGGATGAGGGGAGTGTTGCCTTATCCATATTTTCAGGCAAAAACAACTTCTGCAGTCTATCCTAACTTATGTGTTCTTCCTCAATAACTTTTGCCATCTTGACCACATTCTGATGTTGTTTGGTTGCATACATCTGGTTTTGATCCATGAACTTTGGAGGGCATGGCATAATTTAAGCTTTTAAACAAGCAAACCAGTTTCTAGCTACGTTTGCTTTTTTGCCACTTGGTTTACATTAAGCCTAGTAAGTTCATTCCCGTCTCCTATAATCTTCCTGAACTGAGGCACAATAGTGATTTTTTAGTGAAGGCATATGTAATAGCAAATTGCAGTTAGATAAAACTCTGGTTTGCTAACAGTCTTCCAGCAGTGATTTGTAATATTGTTTTGGCAACCAGCACAAACCATGTTGTAAGTTCAGACAAAATTTTTTGTCATCTTATCTAAATATAGGTATAGGCTTCAAAGGACTATGGATAACACAATGTATGTTGACTGAGAGCAAGAGGGACTGGTCTGTTAAAAAACATTTTCAGTAGCTAGGCATATGGCTGAAAACCTAAGGGCCAAATTTTAAATGCCCTGTGAAGGAGAACAGTATATTTCAATTTCATTTTACAATAAAACCATCAATATACTAGGCTACTTTCTGGAGTGTGAATACTTGCATGATCATATTTGCTAAGGCTGTTGTAGCCTCTTTTTAAAAACAAACAAGAATGACCACCACCCAGATATATAAAACTGGTTGATCCACTGACATAAATAATAATTTTGGCTTCACCAAAGTCTCAGCACTAATTATGGCATTCTTGCTCTATATCTTTTTATTTTATACTTGGTGAGGTGAGAAGATACATCTTGGATCACACATAAAAGTCACTCTGTGCTCCTTGAAATTTTCTTATCTGGCAGCTGTAACTCAGTTGATGAGCTTCTTTTGTTGGAGGAGCCTGAATTGATCAAAGGAGAACTAGCAGCATTCACTGCAGTTCTCTCTTCCTTTGCACTTGAACTTTCTCTGTAAGGTAACAGCTTATGTTGTGAGGTGGTCGAATGATGTTAGCAAGTATATAAGAGTAGACATCCTGAGTAATGATGGATTTTTAAGCTGTCTTGAGTGGCACACACTGTAGGTTAAAACTATTCAAGCCCTCCTGAGGGCCACAGTCCTTGTGATGATCCACTTTTATTCATGAGAAATGATCTTACAGAGGTACCATGTATATGTGGGGAATTCTACAGAAATCAAAGTCTATTTCTCCCAGAGAAGACCTGCAGGAATAAGGTTGTGTCTAGGCTAAAGCATTTAATATTATGTGATGGAACGCTCTCCCATGAGAGGATTCTTACAAGCAGCAGACTAACCACATTTTGAGAGCAAGCCAAGTCAGAACCCTTCTGACATTTGTCTTCATTGTACAGGGCTGTTGTGTGTATACCATTTTTGTTTGTTTGCTTTAGGATGGAAGAGGATTCAACCTGCTTGAACCCACACCTATAAACTTACATATTCACTGTTGTGAACAATCCGATTTCATGCTCTGCTTGGATTTTTTTCACAATGAACTCTGTCTATATGGGAAACTTGCTGCACTTAGCAGTATGTCTGCCAATATTCAGTCTTGGCCTCAGTCTGGGGATACAGAGCCAACAGGGAAAAGAAGACAAAAAGACAAGACTCATTGGGATTGGGATGGGCCTTAATGTCTTGCAGTCAGGAATGGACCTTGGGAGGAAAAAACATTCAAAGACACCAGAGAAATACACATAATGTAATGAGTTGCTATCTTGATTTTACCTTTTTATTAATTAAAATATTTATATCCTGTCCTTTATCCAAAGATCTCAGACAGCTTGCTATAAAACCAACTTAAAATATAAATAATTACAAAAGTTATAAAAAGATTAAAATATATTAAATACTGTAGTTATTAAAGTTTTTAAAAAGACAATTTAAAACTAGTTAAAACAATCAACCGTTTGGCATAGAAAACTGAGATCCTGTGATCTGGGATAAGATATAAATATTTTAATAAAACTAACATCTTTGTGGGCGCTTCTTTATTGATTCCTCAAACAGCTAGCGGAGTACTGTGCATAGATTGCTTAAAAAATGCCATTCAGCAGTGTCTATCTACCTTGGATATTGATTTATTCCGAATTTCTAAAGAAAACAAAGCATACTTACATATCCCTTTCCCAATAAAACTTTTCTCCCATGAAAACTATTGGGGTGGAGGAATCTATTATTCAAGTCTTTTTGTTACTTGTTTGGAAAGATGATACCTTAACCATACAATCCTAACTGCTAGATTTTTACAATGCAATAAAGATCAGAATGGAGTGGAGTGGATTGACCATCTTGCAATGATTCCCAAATGGTGAGTTGAGGGTACATAGACTACCACAAAACAAATGGAGAAGGAACAAATGTAAGAGAATGGGATTTTTTTTTATAGATTTGAATAATTTGATGGGAGTGATCCGATTATAAAGACTGAAGCTGAAATCATTAAATAATTTAATGGGGGGGAATCAAGTAAACCTAATGAGTCTTCTGAGAATTGCACTCTTAATTTTAAACATTTGGGAAACATTGCATGTGTAGCCTCTCCTCTTGTCTGCGTCTTATTTTTCTAAGCAGTCTGACAATGTTGGCCTTCATTTGAAAAGTTTCCTTAATATATATAAGGGCAGGATTCTTTTCTCAATGGGAATTTTACACACTGCAAAATGTGATGGTTTTATCTGTCATTTCACTAGCCAGCGTACGTCCCTTAATCACCAGTGGCACTTTTTGAAATAAAGTTTCTGGTCAAAACACAACAAAAGTCTCCTGTGCTCATTTCCCCTCTCCCTTATTTATGCATGCATTCCCAGATAAACTTATTTTAAACAGAATGCTATCTATGTTCAGTGCACACAATGTTCCTGCAAGTATAGTGCACATATGTGCAAGACTGTGTTGGACTGAGTTTGGATGCTGAAACGTGCTAGGAAACAAAATTGGAATTAAGCAAACAGCAGAACATCAGGATCTGACATTTATTTATATTCTTCCCTCCCCAAAATGTGATAATCTTTTTTATGAATGTCAGGTAAATAAGCTGAAAAACAAACAGGCTGCTGCCACACTGTAGAAATAAAGCAGTTTGACACTGCTTTAACTGCCATGGCTTAATGCAAGCGAACCCTGGGATCTGTAATTTGTTTTGGCACCAGTGCTCTCTTTAAGAGAAGGCTAAATATCTGACAAAACTACAAATCCCTTAACTCCATAGCACTGAGCTATGGCAGTTAAAGCAGTGTTAAAGCATTATTTCTGCAGTGCAGATTAGACCTAAGGTTACATAATCAGCTTTACAGTTCGGGAAAGATCTGAATATTGAAACTTCCATTCCAAATTATCCAGATTCCACTGGGCTCAGTCTGCTTGAAAATGCCATCCAGTTTGCCAGTGTGGATAAGAAAACACAGAATGGCTTGCAGCAAATAAGCATCAGCTCAAGGGTCTTGAAATGAAACAATCTGTTAACAGAAAACAATGCTATGTTAGTTACAATACTGACAGGTTTCATATTTTCTCTCAGTGACTACACAATATTCATCATATGAAAAATGCTTTGGAAGCATTTATACCTATATCAACACTGTTAAGATGCTTCACTACCCAGAATGTGAGCTGAAATGGGGTTACTGGAGTAATCGAAAAACAGAAGACCTGCAGCTCTTTGGGAATTAAAGCAGTGAACTGGTCAAGTTACTGTCACATGAATTAGAAAACTAGGATTTGGTACACAGAAATGGGACAATTTTTCATACCACAATCCAAAAATGTCTTGACCATAATGATCAACCCTTTCTCATTGAGCATGACAAACCATGGTACTGCAAATGGAGTGCTAAGTGGGAGTTATGCCCTTGCCCGTTCAAATACTTTTAACTATACAGTTGTCCCTCTCCAGTTGTAGACTTGCAGTCCACAGTCTTGCTCTCTGCAGGAGGGACAAGTGTGGAGGAACAAATTGGTGGTCGCGCGCACCATTATTTTCAATGGGGCTCAAATATTTGCAAGTTGCCATTTTCATGGGTGGTGGTGGTCCAGAACCGATCCCCCATGAATTGGGAGAAGCTACTGTGATTATTAATTAATATGCCACCTTTCTCCCAGTATGGGACTCAAGACAGCATAATATCCTTAGGGACTATGATCCCTATGCCATACAAAAAAGTATTGATGGCAGCAGAGCCAGCGTTGTGTAGTGGTTTGAGTGTTAGACTAAAATTCTGGAGACCAGGGTTCGAATCTCCGCTGGACTATGGAAGCCCACTGGCTGACCTTGGACAAGTCACACTCACTGCAGAAGAAGGCAAAGGCAAATGCCCTTTGAAGAAATCTTGCCAAGAAAACCCCATGAAGAGACCTATGGCTACTCACCTTAAGATTGCCATAAGCCAGAAAAGTCCAAAGCTTCATAACACATATTATAGGAACATGGAATGTGAGGAGTATGAATCAGGGAAAGTTAAAAACATAATATATCATTGAATACTAAAGTTAGGATTATCCATATCATCAAATTTCCCATTTCTATGTATGGATGTGAAAGCTTGAAAGCTAATAGGAAGAAAATCAATTCACTTGAAATGTGGTGCTAGAGAAGAAAGAGTTCTATGATACCATAAACTGCTAAAAAGGCAAATAAACGAGTCCTAGAACAAATTGAGCCTGCATTTTCCCCAGAAGACAAAATGACTATACTCACTGTCAAAGCAGGGAAGGGCAAACCCCACTGAACAAATTTTGCCAATATAACCCTCTAATAGCTTTGCCTTAGGATTGTCATAACTCAGAAATTACTTAAATGAACACAACAAGTGTATTTCCTCCCTTCTTCCTTTTTGTTTATATATATATTGAAGATCTCTATGAAACTCAAATATTCTATTGCTTAACAATATTTACTTGATCCAAATAAATGTAAATTGCTATCAAAGCTGATTAATTTAAAGCTGTAGTCTTGTAGTGCAGTGGTTTGAGCATTAGACTATGACTCTAAAGATCAGGGTTCGATTCCTAGCTCCAGCATAAAAACCCACTTGGGCAAGTCAAAATCTCTTAGCCTCAGAGGATGGTAATGGCAAACCTCCTCTGAAGAAACTTACCAAGAAAATTCTATGATAGGGTCACCTTAAATCAAAATTGACTTGGAGGCACAGAACAATAACAAAGACTTACATTTAGTTTGGAAAAAGTTCCATTTAGTTCAGAAGGATTTAGCTTGGGTAAACCTTTTTTTAAATATTGTTTAAGTATTAATTTTATATTAAATATTAAATAAAACTTGTTTCATAATTGCTTTTTTATCAATACTGCTTTCATCAGGTTGTGAGTCACCTAGGATCCCAATCTAGGAAAAGATGGAACAAAGTTCAAACAGAGGTAGCTTTAACTTCTCAAGAAAGATACAGCTCTGAGACCCTCCACTATTACATTTCTTCCCCTAAAATTACTTTTAACATCCATGGCTGATGAAGAAGCCTGTGAACTTTGAAAGCTTGTGTAATGT